GTATCCATGTACGTATGTATGTATGTATGTATATATATATGTATATATATATATATATACGTACCTATAATCGTTCTCTAGAAATACTTGCAATTGGCAATGGCCCATACAATTTCACAATACCCTTGGACGTGTGTAGGCAAGACTTGATATGTTTTTTATACATTCTCACCTATACTATTACAGACAGAAGCATGCTATATCGATAAGAGTATCAGATATTATTGCCACACTTTCAGGCACGTCTGCGGTATTATTGTGGTGTGCATAGCAATACCAATTGTGAATACACGAAACGGCGAGTCATATTATTTATAGTTAGTTGTGTATATTCAAACAAGGGCAACATACACAATAATATACTATGACAAGAATGTATGTAACAACTACAGGCCACACTGCAGACAGTGATGCATGACAAGATTCCATATTTGGAATGAGGCGTCTGCAGCAGAGAGTCCAGACTGAACTCACCGTGTTCACGTCGGACATTACAGAAGTGTAATGGTGTCATATGCAGCAGAGGTCAGTTCGCAGCTTCGTTTATCCTTATTATATATTATATGAAGTAAATGACTAATATAAAGCAACTATCAACTGTACGAGCTGAGAACCTGATGTATTGCACATTTATAGCCTTCATCCTCATGAGTAAAATAAATTACAAAGACTATTGAGATTTCATAGCCTTCTAAAATCAGACAGAAATTTTTATTATTTATTTTTTATGTATCATAACGTTACCAGCGCTTGAGAGAATATTTGACGGTCAATTGTTTCCTGACGCTAAAATCTCATGCCATGCAACGTGCCGATGGATGAGATAGGTGATCATGCGATATGCTATTTCTAAGCTACCAAAAATGACTTCGCAGGTGTGGAACACAGTCGACCTGGCTCCCCTTTCCGAGGTATACAAAAAAAAGAATCGGATGGGTTAATTAGTATTATTGTCGTTGCACAAATGGTATAGCACGCACGAGCAGTGGCGGCAAGACCTATATAAAGTTGCGTGACTGTCTTCAATAGGAGTCTACGGCGCGTGTGCTCACGGGATTGAATAATGCTCAGCCCAACAGACAGCAGAAATTGATCAAGATAAATCAACAGCACGCACGATGAACAATACTCAAGTGGCAATATTTTGATTTGATATTATTTATTTATTTGAATATTATAAAACGTGTATAATTTTCTGATGGTTGAAGGTGTGCTAGCATGCTTGAATATTCTGGCCTCCGCCAGTGTCGGTACAGATTGTTCGCCGTAGTACATTTTGAAGCATTATATGTGTTCCACATATGAATTAATATTGAGCTTGAATATGGATCGGCATACCAATACGTATGTGCCAAAGTCATGAACTACCAGCGACCATTATCCACGTCTGCGTAGAAACGTTTTTCTGGCTCGATAGTTCCACCGTTACCTCCGTCAGTACCAGGACGCATTTGATCGAATTGTGGGGTATCAGGCGGACACTCGGTCAAGCTTTCGTCGATGATGAGACAGGCTTGAACGATCATGTCGTTCTTGGGCTGTGGAGTGTATGAAAAAAAAATGACAGACAGAGGTTAGTGTGTACACTATTTGCGAAGAATGCACAACTCGTATAAGCTGCAACCTTTCCCGTATTATGCAAAAATTCATATTCGCTTTTGGGTACGTGTACAGTTTGACGTCGATACAATTTTGCCTGTGCACCTTACAATCTTCTAGATACATGAAAAACATTCAATTCAGTTCAGGTTAATATACACATACCTGGCTGGGATCCCACTGGAAGAGAATGTGCCCATCATTGTTGAAGTACGAGTATTCACGTACGCGCTTGTCGAGGTTAATATTGACGTTCATCACGTACCATCCCGCTGGCAGCGGCGTAACATCGACCCATCTATTAGTTTGTACGTGTGCATAAGTGTTAAGCGAGGTGTGTCGGAAGGTAACGTTATAATAGGTATTATTAGATATTAGTAGGTCTTATTAGGTAATAAAAGGTATTAGTAGGTAATTATTGGTACTAGTAGGTAATACTTGATATTAGTAGGTAATAATAGGGGTACGAAGTAGTGACGTGCTATAAAATATACGGACACTTTCGAGCGCACTACGGCCCTGATCGCATCTGTGAAAAGTCCTCAAGGATAATAGTTTTAGACTGCTAACATATGCTTAGATTGTATACAAACTGAATTCTGGAAATCAATAGAGAATGAATCATATGAGCAGCACTCAGCAATAACACAAAACTTACTGGCAATCCAATCCACGCGAATAGGTGTCAGCACATCCCACAGCAATGCCCTGGTTGGTACATCTGTGCTGCATATCATTTCCAGAACGCTCGCACGTGGAGTCCATTACACAATGGCTAGCCTTGTGTCCGCGCAGGATAATGTTGGAGAAAGAACCTGCGGTGGTGATGTAGTAAGTGGCATAGCCAGTCATGCCGTGGTAGTGATTGTGGCACGCGTGCCAGACGAACTCTCCTTCAGGTGGGGGGTAGAAGACGTCGTTTCCTACGTTCCAAGTGGTGGTCTCGAAACGAATGATTATTCGTTCATCTCCCATGGTCTCGCCCATCACACGCTCACCAATGGGCAGTAGACAACTCTCTTCCAGAGCACACTCCAGATCATCACCTTGGATATCGACCTCATACGCTCGGAAATTGTTCAGGAACTGAATTGTATCGAAATCTAGATCGGCCATCTCAATATCAGAGGGAATCTGCTCGAAATCAACACGCGTGAAGGTTTGATCACTCTCGCCACCGGTCATCCACTCACCGATAGTAAATTGAATTGGATCTTGCAATGGCAGATCGGGTCTGGTGACAGTGATCGAATCTACCAGCATAGGATCATCTGATTCTTCTCCGAATTGCAATCTGATCTTCGCCACCTGGATTTTCTGTGCAAAGACTGTTACTTTTACGTGTCCATCCTTGGGGAAGCGTGAACCCAATTCGGCCGCTCGCGAGTAGTAGTCGGTTTTGTCATAGAATTGAATGCTTACAGGTCCCTCTCTACCGGCATCCGCCGCGTCGCTGAGGGCAATATCCACGAGGTATTCGACAATGTTTCCACTTCCGGAAACAACACGCTTGACACCCTCGCCGTCAGCACTTACAGTACAATCATCTGCGGAATTGGTTGAGGATGATACCCAACCATTGGCAGGCATATACTTAGAACGTACGCCAAATTCAACAGAGTGATGGGTAATGAGGATACCAGCTTGCATAAACCAGGCGTCCTCTCCAGGGGCAATGATGTCAAGATGAGAAACGTCGCCAACCTGCACAGTAGTGGGGGTCAGATTAGCAATACCGCTGCTGTGATGTGCACATCACCGGGCAGTTCAGAATATCATACACTTGCAATGTTTTGTGTTTATACTTGCTAAAATTTCGAACATTTATAAACCTTCAATCCACTGAATGAGATTCCATCATCAGGTACCATAATTTCACGACGACAAGTCGCATGTACGCATAGCACATATCACGCCCTACCCTGGCAAAACTGGAAGATAAAGTATAAGGCGAAAGAACAGCGGACGAAGCACATATAGTTTTTTACTTTTGTGCTCTTACCACAACTTTGTTTGTTTCGCATGGATCTGCAACAACACAACGTATTACACACCTCGTTGGCGAAGACAGTGAAGGACAGTTTACTTGAGAGGGAAAAGTATCCATTCAGCTCGATACGGGTAGTATTCTCTCCCAGAATACCGATTTCGGGTCCCTCTCCGTACAAGATCAGGTACAAGGGCTCTCTGCGGTCTCCCAGATAATTGTTTCCTGTCCACAAAGTAATCTGGTAGTCCACCATATCAGATGGGCCAACACCAATCTCCACCTCAGGCAGATCGCTGTTCAGCCAGCCCTGGTAAGGGAAATACATCACACGACCCGACTCGGGCAAAGTTATACGCACTCCCGAGTGCATGAACCAGCCATCGGTATAATCGTCCAATAGCGTGACAGTGACACTTTCAATAGCTTTATGCTCAAGATTCAGTGAACGCTCAGACTGTCGTCCGGGTGCTGAAGTATCCCAACCTCCAGTAACTTGGATTTTCTTACCGTCTAAAAAGTTGAAAGTGATTCGAATCTGTGTCTCACGTTGATGATTATAACCGTTACCTGTCCAAATAGCCACCAAATGTTCGGCATTCGGCTTGCCAATGTTGGGGTCTTTGCAATCAGCCTCGGTCCATACGGGGCTTCCGCACGCCGCAGAATCCAAGTTATTACAATGGCACCCAGGTAAGCATACGTATTCTTCATTTGAGGTGCAGTCACACGTTGCCAAGCAGCAATCACCACCATCGAAACCGCATTCCAGGACATTGTTGTGATGATCACAGGCACCATTGTGCATGAGCTCAGTTCTACAAGTGAAACGCTCTTCTTCGAATATTTGGCCCAGCACATTTGATATGCTTGCCGCTACGGCTAATGCAAGAATAAGTGTGCGCATGCTTACTGGGACTAACTGTACGCGCGTACGGTTATGAGTCGATTCTTCTTCTGAAAAGCTTGTAAATAATGTATGTTTTGGTCACAATTTGAAAACCAAAAGTAAATAAAATATTAATATTATTAATAGATTACGATGAAGAGTCGGCGAGAGTCTTGCTGCTGAGGATGTACCTGAGTCCTGAATACAGAATACCATATTGGCATATTCAGTTCTTGCTCACTTCTTGCCTTGTGGTTCACAGAACTGAAAACTATTTACATAGACCAGGGCCTTGGCAGTAGGATCTGAGTAATATTTACAAAGATGTCACAAGAAAAGGAGCTACTCTTTCTATAGTGAATGGTCAAGGACAATGGACAAATTGGTAGAAATTTTTGAAAATCTGAATATATTTTTAAATCACATCTTCGAAGAATATAGTCGATGAATCCACACGCAGGGATTGGCTGACAAACCGTTGGTTGTTAGGTAATTTGCGATGCATTGTCAAATCTCAGATTTGACTCGTGATGTACATATAAAATGTACTTTAAAAAAAAATTACAGGTAAATACATCATGAACACACACGATGCATGTATTTCTTTTATAGTAGATACTATTTTTAAAACAAAAAAATGTATAGTCGTTTAGAACTATAGATAGAACGCTCTTTTGGAGGTCGTGTGAGGTTGTATTTATGACTTTTGTATGACTCATATTGACTGCTTGTATTCCACTTTTTCCATTTTCGTTCATAGAGGACTGGACACAAGTCTCAAGAGGGGTCCATAGCCAGCACCTCTTATCAGAAACTTTCTATTTGACAACGTCGTGTTTTTCATCGTAGTACAGACACCTTACTGCACAAAACATGGAAACTACATATGCCCTTAACCCTAAAACAGCACTACTAGGCAGTACTGAAAACCAAGGCGGTACGCTTTTCTTGATACACAAATAGTACAAGTATTTGGACAAGATAGACAACATATATACACGTAACCCAAATATAAAAATCATACATAGATAAATATACACATGCACGTACATACAAACAAACACACACACACACACACACACACACACACACACACACACACACACACACACACACACATACAACACAAACAACACAAACAACACACAACAACCATAATATAATTAATTATATATACCTATATATATATATATATATAAATTATATAATTATA